GAATATACTACACAACCACCGACGGAAAATCAGTCCGATGGGAACAATACAGACGTCAAAGCCGAGTCGAATACTGAGGAGAACTATGAGGAGGCTGCACAATCTCAACCTCAGCAATCTTCAGAAAATAACACAGTCTCTGGTTCAACTGAAGGGAGTTGTGCGAGTACTGAAATTTCAGCAGCTGCTACAGATATTGGTGTAACAGAATCGGATGCATCAGCTCAACAGGCACCTCGACAACATACTATGGTAACTCGATCTCAGTGTGGAATAGTGAAACCCAATCCGAAGTATGCCTTGCTTGTTACAACGACAGATTCAATTCCAGTAGAACCCAGAACAATAAAAGAAGCAATTGCACATCCAGGATGGAAGAAGGCAATGGAGGAAGAGATTTCAGCCTTGAAAAAAAATTGTACATGGGATCTTGTGCCAAGAACAAAAGATATGAACGTTATAGGAGCGAAATGGGTTTTTAAAGCAAAGCTTATGCCTGATGGTACTTTGGAACCAAGAACAAAAGTATGAAACGTGTATAGGAGCGAAATGGGTTTTTTAAAGCCAAGCTTATGCCTGATGGTACTTTGGAACGCTTGGAAAGCCTCGCCTGTAGCAAAAGGATACAATTCAAGTAGAGAATTGATTTTCTTGAAACCTTTTCTTCCTGTTGTGCGACCAGGTACAATTCGCCTTGTACTTTCTATTGCTGTTTGTTAAAAAATTGCAGGTACGACAGTTGGTGTCCAAGAACGCATTTTCTTCATGGCTATGTGAACGAAGATCTTTTACATGGTTCTCAGCCTTCTGGACCTGGATTTGTTGATTCATCAAAGGCGTCATATGTCTGCAAACTAAAAAAGGCGTTGTACGGATTGAAGCAAGCGCCACGGGCCTGGTTTGATCGCTTGAGTAAATTTTTAATTTCTCATGGTTTTATTTGTAGTTTAGCTGATCCATCACTTTTCATTTGCCATTATGGTTCAGAAACATTAACTTTATTGGTTTATGTGGATTGTTATTAACTGGGTCTAGTGATAAATTAATCAAATCTTTTCTGGAGCTTTTATGCAGTGAATTTAACATGAAAGATCTTGGTCCTATTCATCACTTTTTGGGAATGGAAGTCCTATTCATCACTTTTTGGGAATGGAAGTCATAACAACGGCAGATGGGTTACATCTTTCACAAACTAACTTTGCTCTTTCTATTTTAAAGAAGTTTCAAATGCAGGATTGTAAGCCAATGCCAAGCCCACAATACATGAAGCATGATTTCAAAGAAGCCAAATCACTGGCCGATCCTTTTGTCTACAGAAGTGCCATTGGAGCACTGCAGTATCTCACTCTAACGCGGCCGGATATTGCCTTCAGTGTCAACTATGCGTCACAATTTATGCAAGCTCCTACAACCTCACACATGAAACTCATTCATAGAATACTACGCTACATCAAAGGATCGCTCGAGCTTGGAATCAAAATAACAAAGGATTCGACGCTTGAGCTTAAGGCTTATTCCGATGTTGATTGGGCAGGTTGTCCTGCAACACGCCGTTCAACAACTGGGTATTGTACCTTCCTCGGCAAGAATATCATTTCCTGGTGTGCCAAAAAACAAAGTACCGTATCTTGTTCAAGTACGGAAGCCGAGTATAGAGCTATGGCACATACAGCAGCTGAACTCACATGGCTCACGTTTTTACTTCAAGAACTTCGGGTTCCTAGTTCAATTCCAGTTTTATATTGTGATAATTTGAGTTCATTGTATCTTTCTGTAAATCCTGCTCGAAGCAAGGCACATCGAGTTAGACTATCATTTTGGTTTCGGGGAAAGAGTGCTTAAGGACTCCTCATTACCCAAAATATGTTCCATCCGCACAACAACTCGCGGCATATTTTACCAAATCTGTCTCCAAGTCTGCCATTCGATCTGTCATCACCAGACTATGTCTTCGCCCTCGCCATAGTTTTAGGGGGGATAATAGAATGATTAAGGAGCGATAAGGTAGATTATTCTAGAATCCCCAAGCAGCGATTTGAGTAAAATGGAGGGATAAGGCTGATTATAGGAGTATAAGGGAGTGATAAGGTTTAATAATTAAAGAATATGTGTTGTAATAGGAGTCCTAGAATAGCTTAATTCCTAGCAGAATATTAGTTTAAATAGACAATTGCTTTTGTATGATGTCAAGAAAAATACGCAGAACATTCAATAATAATTATAACGTTTTTCGTTCATTTTTTTCTCTCCAAATTCTGTTTTTCATCTTATTTTACTCTATTTCTTCACTTTATTTATTTTTCTAGACTCTGTGTTTTTTTCAATCCGTGAAAGAAATTGTAGGATTTTCTTAATTGGACCTTTGTTTTGCATTCGTAAATTTAGTCTAGGCTCATAAATAGCTCTAATAATTGGGGGGGGGGGGGGGGGGGGTGAAAGTTCTCCAAAAAACCATTTTAGGAGTAAAGGTCAAAACCTCTACAAGAAGATTTCATATATATCTGAATATGTTGAGCAAAGAATAAGCAAATCTATCTCCTGTGGCTCACTTAATGAAACCATTTTTTACTTCAAAAAAACATAATATTATACACTATAGTTATCAAATCGAGAATCGAAATCTTTATCTTTAAAATCGAGGATCAAGAATCGAATCATAAGATTTAGTATTCATTCTGCCACAAGATACTAAAAATTAAGTGCAAATAATTAATGTATTTATATAAATTTCAATTCTAAATTCTGATAATACTAATATTTTAAATTCTGGAAATACAAAGTACGTAGCTAGTTACAGACTTGGCCATATTACGATTTTCGGAATCGGAACCGTCGATTCCGAACCGGTGAGAATGGGAACCGTCGGTTCTGAACCGATGAGAATTAGAACCAAAATCGGTCCGAATGGGAACCGAAATCGATGGCCTATGGTTCAGTTTTGGTTTCACCATTTTTAGAATCATCCGGAACCGACAGTTTTTACAGCTGGTTAGAACCGACGGTTGAAACTGACGGTTCGAACCGGCAGTTGGAACCGACGGTTCGAACTGGCGGTTCCAAGTAGATTTTGAATTTTATGTTAAACGGCTGGAACCGACGGTGCGAACCAGCGGTTCCAACCGGTTCTAGCATTTTTTTTTATTTTTCAAATAGTTTTATGAAATTCAAATAGTTTTATGAAATTTCCAAATTACCCCCTCCTAACAGCTATAAACAGCTACATAATGGCTAGTTTCAAAAGTATTTGTGAAAAAAATAATTTTTTGGATTTATTATAAATACTTCATTCCATTTACAATCCCCTCACACAAAATAATATCTACTCTATATTATTCTCTACTTTACAAATATTATTCCTACTTTACAATCTTCTTTGATTTTCATTCATAAATTATTGTCCAAAATTATTGCAAAATAATTTCTTCAAAATCCAATTTCTAATTATTTGCCAAATTATTGTGAATTAATTTCCTCAAATTCCAATCTCTAATTATTCTCTCTAATTTTTTTATTCAGTTTTCCAAGTTACATATTATTTTTCTATAATAGCAAGTAGAGGAAACTCTAGTTCCACTAAGGGTAAGGGAAAGATTGGAAAAACACAATATTCATCTATCCCTACAAATGGCATCTTTGATTTCACTCCCGACCAATATAATCTTAAGGGATATCCAAATGAAAATTTGGAAATTATTTCACAAATCCCGAGACTAAGGTAACATCAACCGGTGGTGGAAATAACGACTAAGGTAAAAGGAGTGAAATTGGTACAAGATAGGTAGAAACTATGTGAGCTTTGATTCCTCTAAATTCCGAGAGTATACGTAAGCAACTTAAATTTTGATAGTCTACATTCTAATTTTAGGATTGGATATTCAAAACCTTTTAATATACAATTTAAAGTATATTGCAGTATTATTACCTTTTAATAATGGTGAAATACCCAATTGGATATCCAATTAACAATTCCAATTAACAATTTATTAATCATTGGAAGGGGCAATGGCATATATAATTTGTTATTTTCAATTGTAAGTTTACACTAATAAAATCTTCTTATATAATTAGTCTTTTGCCATATTTTTATGTATTTATTTCTTACCTGTTTAATATGGGTCCAGTAGGATGGTGTTGCGAGTGTTAATAGGTGTCCAGAGGATGGTTTTGCCAGAAAACAATGAATACATTTTTTTTTTTTTGTTAAATTAAACAAAAGAAAATATTTTACCTATCCACCAAGAAAAAAATTCATTGTATTAGATATCCAAAAATTGGAATTTAATATTTTCACTCCTTAAGAATTATTTTTTTTAATTTTTTATTTACACCTTTGATTTATTAAAAATTAAAAAAAAATATATTAAATTTCTTTTGAGTATTATGATTTCGTTCAAGGTTTAAGAATTATTGCGCAAATCAAAAAACAATTTGATTTTTCAATTTAAACCATTAATTCTCACCTCAATTTGAATTATCCAATCAATTTAAAATATCAATTTAAAATATGATTATACTGTGAGAGAATTTAATAATATAAACGGTTGATTATATGATAACAAATTATATATGTGAAGGTAAAATTATAAATATGTAAACGACATGCAACACAAGGTAAATAAATAAATAAAACTTCATATAAGAAAAAGCAATGTTCTAAGATAACATCTGCATACATATATAAGTATTGACGTATAGTTGACAATAGACTAAAATAACACTGCAGGCTACACAATAGGGGTAATACTCTCCCTTAACTCATTAAATTAGTAAAAATACTTGTAATCAAAATGACTCTAACTTGAAACTTTTCGCTACTCGTATAAGTGAACTAGACCATATTTGATTGGCCATAACACTTGTTTTTATTTATTTATTATTATGTATAAAATGAAGATGACTTCATATATATATATATATTAGTAATATATTATATATATTTTCAGGGTTCTTAATATGGAATCCACAACCCTTCTTTTCTATGTAAGGGCCTCAACGTGGGGGTAAGGGCCTCAACGTGGGGGAGGTGGGGCAGGGCTTCTTCTTCTGGCAGGGACTTTAGGCAGCACACAATTTTTCTTCCCACGGCTGCATCCAAATGGTAGGTTTTTGGGCTTACCTTTGATTGGCCACCATTTTGGTATTCCTGCATCTGATATTAATTCATGTCGGTAGATACATTAGAAATTATTAAAAAGGAGAATTTCGACTCTCCATTGTATATATTTATTATAAATTTAACAACTTTATTACAAAAAACACGTTTATTACTTCAATTTATGAAAAAAAGATTATGAATAGTCTATCTTGTAAAATTTTACATTTTAAAATTCAGTCTTAGCCTGTAAACAAGTTTAATAATAAAAAAAATATTATTAAAAAAAACATTTTAAGAGTGAAGCGTAAGAGACGTTATAAGAAAATTTTATATTCGAATTTGCTTAGCGAGATGAAAAATTTATTGAAAAAAAGTGCTGGCTAGGTAGCTAGTTCTTACCTTTCCCAATAGCAGCTAATTCCCTAGCTGAAGTGAGAGAAGGGGAAAAGGAAATGGTAACCAAAAGAATGCAAATCAGGAGAAAGGCCTTCTTCATGTTGGAGATGATTCTATATTTTTGTTTGCAATTATGTGTTTCTTTGAGTACTCTTATTTATAGTAATAAATCAGCAAGCCAAATTTGAATTGTAATAACATAATTATTTGCAACTATATGTTAAAAAATATATAAAGCCAAGACTTAATCAATTACAACTTGTTTCCACAATAAATACACAATTATTTGCAATTTGCAACTATATGTAAAAATATATTAAAGCCAAAAGACTTTGATCATTACACGTGACTTCCACAGTAAAATCCTAGATAGATTTTTTTCCAAGCCAATTTATAGCTGTTGAAAAATTTAATAAATTACTCCATGTTGATAATAAATTATAATAAATTAATAAATTACTCCATTTGTTGATAATAATTTGGTACAAAATAATCATCCAAAAATGACTTAAATTTTAGGTTCTGCAGAAGTTTAGTATGGAGGTGACCCTTCCAATCCAGTGTTCTCTATTAACAGTACCAGTTCGAGTCTTAGACGTTACTTAAAAGATCCAGCACCTCATTCCACTTATCAACTAGTAGTTGGGATTGGTGACCAACTACTAGTTTATTTTCAAGATTTGATCTCTCTATGTTACTAAAAAAGGAAAGATGACCAAAGTTGACTCGTCAATTGAACCAATTATTGAGAGAATTATATTTTTTTTTGCTGATATCAGAAAAAAAATTTTATAATATACCTAAATAAATGAAAAAAAAATCTATATCGATGAAATTTGAATCTAACGTCTTATTTTAGATTATCATTCAATAAAATTTATTAGATGAGCCTTTTATCGGAAATTCAAAATGAACAATATTTTACTCTATTTTTTTCACTTTATTTATTTTTCTAGATTGTATGTTTTCTTCGATCCGTGAAAGAAACTGTAAGAATTTCTTGATTGGACCTTTAGTGAAATACATAAACACTATTTTTCACTTTAAAAAACATAATTAACGCTATAATTATCAAATCGAGAATTGAAATCTTTGTTTTTAAAATCGAGGATCGAAAATCAAACTGTAAATTGAGTATAACTTTTCAAATTAATTATGTATATATATGGATATATTTCCATTAATTCTGTCACATGATGCAAAATATTAAGTGCAAATAATGTATTTATATAAATAATTTCAATTCTATAAATCATTTCAAATACAAAATGGAAAGAAACTAATGACTGGTGTGTTGCAAGTTTTAAAATATCAAACTATCAACGTTAAAAATTTTAAATATAAACAAAGTAAAAATATAAAGCCCAAAAAATATAAAGCCATTAAAATTTCTTATCCAAATCCATATTTATTCATTATCATTTCCAAATTCAAGCCCTTCTTTATCTTTTTCTTCTAATATACTTATATTCTCTTGCTTCTTTCCTCTATATTGACTTTTTCGTTAGATTTGTTTGGTAAGAAAATTGTCGCATATGAGAATCGACTTGAATCGTAAGATTTGCGATTAATACCGATTCACCCATAAGATTCAAATTGTTTAACATGAAAATTGAATCGAATCGTAAAATTCACATCATAAATCATAAGAATCCGGTAACAATAATATTTTAAATTGTGGAAATACAAAGTAGCTAGCTAGTTAGCTGGCTCTTATCCATCTGAGCAACCTAATTCCCTAGCTGTAGAAAGAAGGGAAAAGAAAATGGTAGCCAAGAGGATGCACATTAGGAGAAAGACCTTCGTGCCGGAGATGATTCTATATTTTTGCTAGTCTATATAAATATTAAATAACATTTATTGGATGTATATCATATGTGTATTTTCAAATTTCATACATAATATAAAAAAATAAAAAAGTTAAAAGGATTTTTTTTAAAAAAATCCTAATTCATTGAAAATCCTAATTCATATGATATTATTTGAAAAGAAAGGATTTGAATTTGCAACCAATATCTTTTGATGGGATGTCTGCAAGTTCGGATGAAACTTCAACGTCAGCTACCATTGACCAACCTTCAAAACTCCCTTCAGTCATTCATGCCACATATTATGGTCCACAACCATTTAGGCAGTCAGTGTCAATTCCTCCAGTATTCTACCATATTTATTCAACACACCAATATATCTAGGGCCACTGACACTCCGTTTCAAAAATTCACCGAGCCCAACCACTAGATATATACATACACTCCATTTCTAAAGATAGATAAGAAAGGAAGATAAGAAAGGAACTTTCATTATTGAAAATGGAATTAATATAATAGAAATCAAATTAATAATCCATATACTTAAATATATATGGATAGGCTAATTTTATTGCATTAATACTATTTTTTTTTTTATAATCAAAGTACAAACAACACATAAGTACTAAGAAAGTGCAATTAAGCCAGAAATTAAAGTTTTCAAGACAGTGACATCGAGAACATTTATTGTCCACACGTACAGAAATCCATTTTCAAGAACTACTTGTTTCGTAAGCATGGGACTTGTATTGATAACAAGGCTTCTACATCGGTTACGTCGGTGGCTTCTTCTTCTTGGGTGGTGGCTTTTTCTTCCGTGGATAAGGTTTGTATGGATACCCTTTCTTTGGATAAGGTTTGTATGGATACCCTTTCTTTGGTTGAGGCTTGTCGATCTGGCCAATAGTACCATCGATCTGGCCAATAGTACCATCACCTAAGGCATTCACATCTATATAAATAACACGTTAAATTTATTTTTCCGTCAAAGTTAAAAATAAATCTATTTATAACGAAATTAGAGAATCCACGTACATATTTTTGAACTCGGAGAACTCAAAACCCTAGAAATGACTTCAATACCGTTAAATCAAAACTTGTTGGTAATTCATATTATAAAAGTAACTAATTGTCAAAGGGTTTTTTTTTTTTTTTAGTTTGAAGAACTTGTAAGTCATTAACGTAGCAGTATTTTTATGATTGAGATTAACGACGAATTTTAATTAAGGATAATTCTTAAATTTAGGAAACATAATTAAGCAAATGGAAATTATATTACTATTATCAGTAAGAATTATTACTATTATCAGTAAGAATAGTGTGTGTTTGTGAATAATTACCTGCAGCTGTCTGTGTTAATTCTCGAGCTGTGGTTAAAGAGGAAGAGAAGAGAAAGATTGCAAAGAGAATGGATATAATTGCGACGAGGGACTTCATTTTGAGAGACGATTGAATTCTTTTGCCACTTTGCAATTTCCTTCTTCTCTACTCACTCTTATTTATAGTAATAAATATATGATGTTAAATTCCCTACAATTAATTTTGACATTTACTTCATTTTCATGAAAATTAAGAAAATGAAATAAGGATAATAAATTAAATTACCTTTTAAATAATATTTTATAACTAAAAGATAAAATTAGGGTTCGATTCTTGGGGCATCCAAACAGTTAATCAACCCTGCTTGAACTTAAGCCTGCCAATGTTTATGGATCATAACCTCATGTGTATTCAAAATTTTCCCGGTCTATATAGAAGAGGTATTTGCATAGATCCGAGGTAGAAAGCAAGAACTACATCTCTCCCTTAGTCAGTGCCAAGGGCTAAACACTGCCTCGATATCAAAAAGAGAAAAGAAAAAATTAGGTGAAAATATCTTGTTCAAGGTTTTTGCACAAGGATTAATAAAACAATTAATTCTCTTAGAGTATAAGAAAACTAAAGGTAATTTGACCAAATTATCTATCATTAATACTAATCAATATAAGTGAAAAAATTGAAGACACCTCTCATACTACCTCTCCTATCACAATTAATTCAGCTCTCTAAGCAACCTATATTTCTCACTCAAATGAGTCGGCGACACGATCGATACGCCTCTCATCAAGTGAAATTACCATAGACTTTTCGTTTTTTTTGCTCTTCTCCGGGCAAATGGAAAAAAAAATACTACTTCTAATTATCATAAATACTTGTCAGAAATTTGAAAAAATAGCTTGTTTCTAAAAATACTTGGTCACATTATAAGTTTCAAGAGTATTAAATGTTCCATGTTTATCCCTTTGTATATGACCCATAATTATTATTTTCAAATTTTTATTATTTCAATTTAATGGTTTTCTTAAAGAATTAGTATTAAATTATGGATAATATAGTCAATTTACTCAATAATTTATTGTAACTTAGATAAATTCAATGATTTTCTAAAGAAACATGAAATTTCAAATGTGATATAATAAAAACTATTGTTAGACTTAATGGCAGAAAGGCCTACCATTTCATAAATGCATGTTGAATTTGTCCCAACTCCTAAAATCTTTTTTATTATTGCCATTTTTCTTTGAAAGCAATTGCCAATTAGATGTATTTAGTCGGAAAATTGAAAAGAATTATTTCTTTATTTTTCACTATATATTTTTTTATATTATCATTTTTGTCTCTCTCTTTTTTTTGCGGACTAAAGGGAGCTCCAAGAGGCGATAGAATGCCTAGAAGCAAGACATCAACAACCATTAACAATCAAAGAAAAAATATCAGCAGGAGGATAATCAAGAGGATGGAACAACCATTAACAATCAAAGAAAAAATATCAGCAGGAGGATAATCAAGAGGATGGACACCAAGGCCAAGAGAGAAAGCATGAGAAGCCAACCAATCTAAAATAGTATAAAAATTTTGTCTCTCTTTTTTTATTTTTACTTTGAGATCAAATTAGCATAAAAAAATTTTGTCTTTCTTTTTTAAAAAAAGCGCTATAAGACAATAAAATTAAAAAATAATAAAAATATAAAAATAAATATTTATGTGGCAAAGAATTATCTATTTAAATTTTTCAATAAAAAAAATTTAATCAAACGTACGTAATTGAAAATATTATTTATATATGCAGACACTTTAACTAAAAAGATAAAATTTTAGACACTAAAATATATATATTGAAAGAACAAATACCAACTATATAATCATTTCCTTACATAAATTATTGAGTGCAGCTGCTGAGTATATAGAAGTAAAGACTTTAGATTCACATATTCATATGATATGCTTGAACTTAAATTGTGATTCTTCATGATATGATTTTGAACTTGAAATTAAAAATGTCAATTATTTTTAATTTTAATTTAGATTGTTAGTATTTACATATCATTTAAAATTTAAATTAATTCACTTAAATGATAAATTAAAGTTTGTCATAAAATTATTTAATACTGAACAGCAAACATAATTATGATTAATTTTAAAATAGTTTTATAATTTAAATAATTTTAATTTTAAAATAGTTTTATAATTTAAATAATTTAGGAGTGATTTCAATACTAAATTAGATCTTTAAGCTAAATCCTGAAACCGTTCATTCATTTGGTTTAGAAATGACATTTTCAAATCAATTTGAATCTAAACTTTTATCTTTTTTTTTAGAATAAAGGCTAATTTATCTGAACTTGTTTAACAGGATAAAAAAATGTTAGATTTGACCTTTTAGATCAATTTAGTCCTTGAATTTGTTTAAAATAATTTTAAAAATTAGATTTAATATTTTAAATCAATTTAACCAATGAACTTATTTAAAATAATTAAAAAAATTCATATTTGACATTTTGAGTCTATTTAATCTCTAATTCTTCATTGTACTTACATGTAAAAATTATTATATAGACATTTATTAAAACTGTAATTGGGTTTAGTAAAAAATTAATTAATTATAAAATATAAAAAATGATATATGAAGTATATTGTATCTCTCTTTATCTTGATTGACAATTTTGAGTTTATAAATATGTATATTTTGAACATTTTAAAATTAAACTCTATTATTGAGTTATCGCTTATGAAATCTGTGAATTTTTCGTGTTGAATAAATTAAAGTTATAATGCATATTTATAAATTTATTATATTACAAGAAATGTTGTTTTATGCATTTTAAATTTATATTCATAAGTATTAGAAAATTTTGATCTAGATGTTTTTAATGTAAGATAAAAAGGGATAAAAAGTCAATTATATAAATTAAATCAATTATTAATTTATAAAATGAAAAAAGTTCAAGGGTTAAATTATCCTAAAAAATGACCTTTTTTATCCTACTAAACAAGTTTGGGACCAAATTGGCTTTTACTCCTTTACCTCCTTTTTTCTTTTTTTTTTTTTTTCTTTTAACTTAACAATCTCATTAATAATAAATATAAGTTTTAAGTACATCATAATAAGAAATAGAATATAGAAATCTTATGTTTTGAAGATGTTTTTAAATTTTTGGCAGAAAATGTTAATCTTTCCGTATAAAAAACTATTTCCATTTTCAATAGTAAGCGATAAAAGAACATTTACAATTATGTTCCATAACATTGTTTTTTTTTTTTTTTTTTTTTTTTTTTTTTTTTTTTTGATCCAACTTTCACCCATAAAAGAGTTTAATATACCAAATTTTAATGAGGGGCCGCACTATCAGACTTCATTGATAAGATAAAAGAAACTTAGCTAACTTGAAGATACGAAGTTTTCAACTACAGGTAACCAACAATCTATCTTGTATTTCGAACTATTAGAGAAATAAAACATATACAAAAAATTCCTTAATAATGAAAAACAACCCTATGAAAGAAGAAAAATTAATAACTCCACTAAGAGAGTACCAAAAACACTCAAGATCTATTATATATCCAAGAGACTAAATTCAACTTTTGGAAATTATTAAAAAGAAAACTAAATAAACTAAATAAAATAAAGAAAAACGATAGATATAAACGAAAAGAAATCACCGCCGACTGTATCTAAAAAACACACAAAACGAGAGAGTTAGAGAAACATGGCTAAAAATCTAAATTTTTTTTTTAATTTCAGTTAAATTTTAATATATATAGATATATATGGGTAATTTGCCGAGATTTTAATTAAAAATAATAATAGCAGCAATAAAAGCAGCCATGCATGTCAATTTTCAGAAGTCGTCAAATTTGAATTGCATGTCGCGTCCACAAAATGAAGATGACAATAATAATAATTAAAATAATAATAATTAAATGATAAAGATTTATAGCTAGAAGATACAATATACCACATAATTCCAAAACCATGCATCACTGAATTTCCACTAGAAAAAGAAAAATGGATCACTGAATTATTTGATTTCGTTATCAAATTATGGCACGTGTTATATATATTTCCTTATATATACCCTATGTGTTTCTAGGGTGTCAAAATGGTCATAACAAGAGAACATAATTCACCTAATACAGAAATTAAGCAGTTTAAGTTGAGTCTAAATAAATTTATGTCATAAATGGCTGACCTGTGTATAATATGATAAATATGATATGTCAAATGTTGACTCGTATAATTTGTCTAACTCATTTAATTAAAATTAGAATGATAATTTCATATATATATATATATATTAAGTGGATTATATGTATTGTATATGTTAGATTCTTTTAGCAGTATAAAATCCATTTAATTAATTAGTAGTTGGATTTTTTTCTCCATATATGATCCATTTAATTAAACAAATTACATGTATACTGTTTGTATCATTGTTTTAATTTTCATGCCGTATTCATGTTTAAATATTTAATATGATTACTAAATGAGTCGTGCTCATGTTAACGTTAATCAATATTTAATATGATTACTAAATGAGTCGTGCTCATGTTAACGTTAATCATTTGTGGATTAAGCAGGTTCATGTCGAACCGACAGATTAACCACATTGAGATCCATGTATTTCGAATTAGGTTTATAATTGTATTTAAAAAAATTTTGGCTTATCTAGGGGATTGTTGGTTATATATATATATTCTTTTGATATTTGAACAGTACGAACATAATTCCATCAACATATTATCAATAATAGAGCAAGAAATGCTAAAGATATCTATGTTCTTTTTTGAGAGGATCAAAAATAGGAGAAAAGAAAATAGGTTGAAAATGCATTTGGTTTGTAATATAGACTCTGTACATCAAAAGGATAAAATATATTTTGATTGTAATGCCAATTAAATATATTTTTCACCCATTTTCCATCCTCTCAAACATAGTTTTGGTGGGAAAGGTAGCTAACAGATGCATATCTAACGGTCAAAAGATCAAAATTTTAAAACTTCAAAAAAATATTAGTAATTTGATAATATTGAAATATTATTAAGATAATTTCAAATATGCATAGAATTAAAAGAAAGATTTTTCTTTAAAATTTTCTAAATTATATATGTTTCTTGTATGTCCAATTGTCCATGATAATTCAATTCTTTTTTTCTTTGAATGGATTATAATTCAATTCTTTATTAT